CTAACTTGATTAAGGTGTAAAAAAAAGTAATCATTAAAAGATCTATAACAATTAACATGGGTAGAATAGTGAAGGAGATAGGGAATCGGATTAATAGCTCATAGATAATTTCAAAATTATCATCAGATTAATGCGGGGATAAAGACACAGATAATGCATGACTTAAGTCAACAAAACATTTTGTGACGTAAGAATTATGACTGTAACCACAGAAAGGCCAGAGTAACTCCTCCTATTTGTGTTTACTGTGACCGGCAGTCTAACAATATTTGTTTCCCCTTGCTAAATAAAAAAAAGTAAAATATTTTTTTGCTACAGAAGTTTTGCCCTGTGTTAAACTATAATTACCTTCTTCTTTATGCTCATGCACACACGTCCCGAAGTCATGCATGCACGTCCCGACGTCATTCATACACTGATCGTCGGAACAACGCTGTGGTTTATGGGCGCGTTTGTATTTTTGTTTATGTGTTTTACTTTTTATTTATGTAGAAAATAAACCGGGAGTGATCTCCCCTAAACTTTCTCGAATATTTTTATATTCGGGCTATAGACATGATTTTTAATCCATTTTAAATACTTAAAGTTTTAAAAATAGAATAGAATCTCGTAGACAAAAGAATTGCACACCGAGTGAACGCTAAATAAAAAAGTGCATAATAGTGCGCAATATTATTAGTACTTTAAAAATTTACATTCGTTTTTTGAGAAATCGGAAGTAGCGTAAATTACTACTTCCGGTCAACGGAAATTACTCAAAATTTAACAGGAGGTAGAGAATTAGATCTTTTACTTACATGTGAAATTTCATTTATCTATCTGAAATAGTACTCAAGTTATAGGCTTTTGAAAAATTCAAAGTAGGAAAAGTACCACTTCCGGTTATCGGAAATTGCTCAAAAGTTGATACGGATCTACGATTTTGATAAAATACTTATATATGAAATTTCATCAACCTAGCTGTAACGGTACTCAAGTTATCGTATTTACACACGGACAGACAGACAGACAGACACACAGACAGACACACAGACATACGGACAAGATTGCAAAATTATGTTTTTCCGTATCAGTGAGGTGTAAAACGTCGAGATTTGTAAAAATCTCGATTTTTTTTTTGCATGATTACAAGACTTTCTCTATACTTCGTATATACGAGAAAGTAAAAAGTAAATTTCTAAATGCTGGATATGAAAAGTAATAGTTTTGATTTGGAGTGGTGACACCTCAAATCTACCCGTCTAACACTTTCCTTCCCTATGATGTGGTGACACCTCAAATCTACCCGTCTAACACTTTCCTTCCCTCGCATGTGGTGACACCTCAAATCTACCCGTCTAACACTTTCCTTCCCTCGCATGTGGTGACACCTCAAATCTACCCGTCTAACACTTTCCTTCCCTCGCATGTGGTGACACCTCAAATCTACCCGTCTAACACTTTCCTTCCCTCGCATGTGGTGACACCTCAAATCTACCCGTCTAACACTTTCCTTCCCTAGGATGTGGTGACACCTCAAATCTTTCCTAGTGTGTGGTGACACCTCAAATCTTCCCTAGGATGTGGTGACACCTCAAATCTACCCGTCTAACACTTTCCTTCCCTAGGATGTGGTGACACCTCAAATCTTTCCTAGTGTGTGGTGACACCTCAAATCTACCCGTCTAACATTTTCCTTCCCTAGGATGTGGTGACACCTCAAATCTACCCGTCTAACATTTTCCTTCCCTAGGATGTGGTGACACCTCAAATCTTTCCTAGTGTGTGGTGACACCTCAAATCTACCCGTCTAACATTTTCCTTCCCTAGGATGTGGTGACACCTCAAATCTACCCGTCTAACATTTTCCTTCCCTAGGATGTGGTGACACCTCAAATCTACCCGTCTAACACTTTCCTTCCCTAGGATGTGGTGACACCTCAAATCTTTCCTAGTGTGTGGTGACACCTCAAATCTACCCGTCTAACATTTTCCTTCCCTAGGATGTGGTGACACCTCAAATCTACCCGTCTAACATTTTCCTTCCCTAGGATGTGGTGACACCTCAAATCTTCCCTAGGATGTGGTGACACCTCAAATCTTCCCGTCTAACACTTTCCTTCCCTAGGATGTGGTGACACCTCAAATCTTCCCGTCTAACATTTTCCTTCCCTAGGATGTGGTGACACCTCAAATCTACCCGTCTAACATTTTCCTTCCCTCGCATGTGGTGACACCTCAAATCTTCCCTAGGATGTGGTGACAACTCAAATCTTCCCTAGGATGTGGTGACACCTCAAATCTACCCGTCTAACATTTTCCTTCCCTAGGATGTGGTGACACCTCAAATCTACCCGTCTAACATTTTCCTTCCCTAGGATGTGGTGACAACTCAAATCTTCCCTAGGATGTGGTGACACCTCAAATCTACCCGTCTAACATTTTCCTTCCCTAGGATGTGGTGACACCTCAAATCTACCCGTCTAACATTTTCCTTCCCTAGGATGTGGTGACAACTCAAATCTTCCCTAGGATGTGGTGACACCTCAAATCTACCCGTCTAACATTTTCCTTCCCTAGGATGTGGTGACACCTCAAATCTTCCCTAGGATGTGGTGACACCTCAAATCTACCCGTCCAACACTTTCCTTCCCCGAGTAGTGCGTGCTCTAAGCCTGTTTTCAAAACACGAGCGCGACTGCGAGTGCTTTCTGCCGAGATGCGATAAGGTGGGGGAGAAAAAGAAAAAAAACAACAGCCCGTGCATCCGTTTCTTTCTGTCAGGGGTGGGGGCGGGGGGCTAAGACACTTGTCAAACATGGCGAACCCCGGGGCCACGGGCGTACCAGAACTCGTTTTCTTTGCTGCTTCATTACACGGTGTTTTCACAAACAAGTCAATTTGATGGCGAGCGGTTCAAGTACGTGTGCAGGTGAGGGTGTCGACAGACAAGGCCGGCTGTAATCACGGCTTTTGTTTGCCCCGGCACGTCACGGCATTTGAACCCTGTGTTTAGCAAGCTTACCTTCAGGGTAAACGTAAATACACTTTGCCGGCTACTTGCCGTGTACTTTCACTTTGCCGGGTTCTGACCGTGTGATAACACTTTTCCGGCTACTTTTCGTGTGCTTACATTTTGCCGGCTAGTTTCCGCGTGCTTACACTTTTCCGGCTAGTTTCCGCGTGCTTACAATTTAGCGGCTGCTTGCAGTGTGTTAACAAATTGCCGGCTACTTGCCGTGTGTTTACATTTTTCCGTCTGCTGGTCATGCTGTCACTGTTCCATCTACTTGCCGTGTACGTACAAATTATCGGCTAGTTTCCGCGTTTAGAATTTACCGGCAACTGACCGTGCTCACAATATTCCGGCTATTTGCCGTGTTCTATGGTAGTTCTCGCCAGCTCGTGGTTTTAACTGATCAAAAATTGTGTGACAAAGATGTAAAAAAAAAAACACCTTCCAACTAAAGTTTGAATTCAAGATAAGCCCAAGTTCCACAACTCTCCTAGTACAAATATTTTTTTTTAAAACAGGAGACGGGAAACACTGCTCAAATAGACGGGGAAAAAAAGAAGAAACTAATGAAATAAAAGGAGGATATCTGTTTAGATGTGCTGGTAATATACTCCAATTAGTAAAGAGAAAAAAAAAAGTTAGAGTAATCCCCCTTAATTTTCCCCACCATTTCTAAATGACCAAAGTAGCTATCGTGATGGGAAGCAATGCAGACTGGGATTAGCTCTGACGGTTCTAGAGGATGAGCTGCATCCACCCCCCAGCCCTAGAGGGGTGGCTAGGGTTTAGAGTTGCACACACCTCAGCTCTGAGGGGTGGCTAGGGGTTTAGTGCTTCAAAGAAAACTAATACCTGTGTAACTCTCGCGAGATGGTGCGACTAGAGGGTGGTACAAGTTGCTCCGTTCCCATAGGGTGTGTGTTAATACCTGGGGTGTATTCTGATAAGGGGCAATCGTTGAAATATATTTAAAAACTTATGCTCACGAGTAGATAATTACGTGAGTGGGGAAAGGGGAGGTGGGGGTGCTGGGTAATGAGATTTATCATAATTACACTGATGAAGTTATATCACGTATTTATGTAATGAAATAGCGCCATATGTCTAGATGCGAGAGAGAAAAAGATATACGAGGGAGAGAAAACAGAGAGAAATAGAGAGAGGACTGGACTATTAATAGATTATCACTTGGTTGTGATCTCGTTAAATTGTTCCGTATCTTTCCATTTGAAAAACCAATTTGACGTATATTTGCTAAATAGAGTTTAACGCCAATAAAAGATATGGGCATGCTAATAAATGAAGAAGGAATTTTAGAGAAGCGTCGGTTTAACACAAACTTGTGTATGATTTGGAATGTGGCACCAGACAGTCAGGAAATAGTCTGTAATGTGGGGGGGGGGGGGAAGGGGTGTTGTTGTAGTTGTGGGCATGGGTGTCAGTGGGGTGTGTATAGTAAACGAGAACAGATATGCGAGTGATTGTGTAAGTGGTGTATGTGGCTATGTGGTGTATATATGTGTATGTGGTGTGTATTTCTATATAGTGTATATACGTGTATGTCGTGTGTATTTCTATATAGTGTATATATATATATGTATGTGGTGTGTATTTCTATATATGTATGTGGTGTGTATTTCTATATAGTGTATATGAATATTTTGTGTACGTAGTTATGTGTGTGTGTATACAGCTACGCGGCTATGTTTGTATTTGCGTGTCTATGTAGTGTGTGGCTGTGTAGTCTGTGTGGCTGCGTGGTGTGTGTGGCTGCATTGTGTGTATGCTGTAGTAGGGTACGTGAAATTATGGCTTCGTGTGTGTGTGTGGATGAGTGGTGTGTGGTACGAAACGTTTAACTTCGTGGCGTGTGTGCGTGTTTGACTGTGTGGTCTTAGTGTGTGTCTGTGTGGTGTGTATGTAGCTGTGTGGTACACGACCGTGTGGCTGTGTGGTGTGTGTGCGTGTGTGTGGTGTGTGTGTGTGTGTGGCTGTACACACTGACCTGAACGTGTTGTGGAACCAGATGACCGCAGGTTCCGGGTTCCCTGAAGCGTGACACTTGAGCGTGACCGTGTCCCCCAGTACTAGGTCATCGTTCCGGCTCCGCTTGCTGCTGACCGACACATTTTTGTCGATCCCTGTCGATCAGACAAAACAATCACGTTATGAAACACGATCGTGTCAATTAGAGAAAGACATCACATTTTGAAAACACAATCCTGTAGACCAGAGAAGCCCATTTAAAATATACGATGCTTATCAATTAGAAAAGGTAAACCCATTTCAAAAACACAAACCCATTGACAACGTAAAAATACGCACTTAAAAAACACAAACGCGTACGCATATGACTACTCGAGTACACCCCTGTCTAGATATCAGGCAAGAGAAGAAATATAAACACGGCTAAAACAGTCCGGCTACGGCTCGCGGTCTAAAATAGGCTACGGCCCGCGGTCTAACACAAGAAACAAAACAGAACCGCTGGTTTTGTTAGCCGAGATGGATCATTGAGAACAGGAACTGATCATGAACAATCAACGCAAACACCATCGGTCATTCAATTAAATGTAATTAGTGAAATATTTTTAAAATGTTGACATGGCAATAGATGATTACCTTCAGATATGAGTGTCGCGTGAAATATAATTATACAAAGATATTCAAAAACGCTGAGCATCATTGGGTAGAGTTAATTTTAAAGTAGTGTAGAGTTGGCTGTTAATATTATTTTTAGTCGCTGAAATGAAACAACTACAAACAATTAAAGAACGTCTTTGTTATTTTTAGTGAGACGTAACTAGCATTACATTGGCCAGTTTTGCTGACCAGGTCCCATGTAATGACCTTTAGCGAGACAAGGTCCCATGTATTGACCTTGAGCGAGACAAAAATCAGCAACCCTTGCCCTCATTATGTAGCCGTGGAAGTCGAAACTTCGGCGGACTTTAGCGCGCTGTCTCGCTGACATTTCGTAGTCTCGTGTTTTCTCGAGCTAACGAGAATTGCGTTTCTGGAGGCGCTGGTGATAATGCCATCACAGAGTGACCGCAGGCCAGTTCTCTGGAATCTTGGCGAGTTCTCTTTTTATTAGCTTGGGGGTAGACCTCGTTAGATCCTCAGTGAGTGGATTAGAGTCTTGTATACAGAGTTGTTGAAGGGGGTTAATCATAGCCTCACAGGCTAGGCGAGTTAGCTAGACAACATTATATAGATATACTAGAGTGGTTGAATAGACAACATTATATAGATATGCTAGGGTGGTTGGCTAGATAACATCATCGTATACTGGTAACTTTGGCAAGACAACAGCATCATATAGTAGAATAGTTAGATAACAGCATCATATGCTAGAATAGTTAGATAACAGCATCATATGCTAGAATAGTTAGATAACAGCATCATATGCTAGTATAGTTAGATAACAGCATCATATGCTAGTATAGTTAGATAGACAACAGCGCCATTGTCACCACTGACTTTCATGTCACCACTGACTTTCATATCACCACTGACAGTTGTGTCACCACAGACTTGCGTGTGCACGCTTCACAAGATGTCACAACGTCCCGCAGCAACCCCCCCCCTCTCCCTACCCCAGGGAACACCACGCCATTTTAAAAATTTCCTTCCCATCATCTCGGGCGCATGCGTACTTTTACAAAGAGACAATGACCACAAAGGGAGGTAACTTTAGTGCGGCAAATCTCGCGAGAGCGGCGTAACACGTGACGTAATGGCCGACACGCCATTGATATTTCACGCCTATTTTTTTCGACAGTCCTCCCCCCTCCCGCCCCTCTCCCAGATTTTAACAGAGTTTAATTTCCCCCAGACATCCCTCGGCCATTTAGCTCGGCGCTCCACTGTTTACCCGAGTAGATCCTTTAAGTCGCATCCAATCTTCCCCCTGCTCAGCTTAATGCACCCTGGCTTAGCCGCGCGCGACACAGATTAGCCTCGGTATGCCGTGAGCAGATTGCCACCTCTCGTCTGCTGCTAAAACAGGGATTAACCTGGAGCCCGCGAATCTATATCAGGTGTTCAGATTTTAATTGTTAGATTAGTTTTTTTTATATCCTTGCCTAATTTTACACCATGTGCAATATTTTATGGCCAGACAAGTCAGGAGTTTCCATAATTTTAAACTTATAAAAGACGAATCAAAATTTAGCGGAAAATGTTTAAGTTTTTACTTTCTCGTATATACGTAGTATAGAGAAAGTATTGTAATCGTGCAAAAAAAAAAAAAAAAAAAATCGAGATTTTTACAAATCTCGACGTTTTACACCTCACTGATACGGAAAAACATAATTTTGCAATCTTGTCCGTATGTCTGTGTGTGTGTGTGTGTCTGTGTGTGTGTCCGTGTGTAAACACGATAACTTGAGTACCGTTACAGCTAGGTTGATGAAATTTCATATATAAGTATTATATCAAAATCGTAGATCCGTATCAACTTTTGAGCGATTTCCGACAACCGGAAGTGGTACTTTTTCTACTTTGAATTTTTCAAAAGCCTATAACTTGAGTACTATTTCAGATAGATAAATGAAATTTCACATGTAAGTAAAAGATCTAATTCTCTACCTTCTGTTAAATTTTGAGTAATTTCCGTTGACCGGAAGTAGTAATTTACGCTACTTCCGATTTCTCAAAAAACTAATGTAAATTTTAAAAGTACTAATAATATTGCGCACTATTATGCGCTTTTTTATTTCGCGTTCACTTGGTGTGCAATTAATTTGTCTACGAGATTTTATTCTATTTTTAAAACTTTAAGTATTTAAAATGGATTAAAAATCATGTCTATAGCCCGAGTTCCCATCCCCTGTTATTTTATATAAGAATATTCGAGAAAGTTTAGGGGAGATCACTCCCGGTTTATTTAAAACATAAAAACATGAGGTGAAGATTTATTTGGATTTTTTAACGCGCATTTTAGGACTTTCATTTTCACTCTCATCGTCATTGCTTAAAGAAAAAAAATCTGTGAGAAAGTTTATGTGAAACATCTGAAGTTTCGCACAAAGGATTTGGATTGTTTTTCAGAAATCAACAACAACAAGACCTTAATTACATGAGATAATTATATTTACCGAATAAGTAAGTTTATAGCTGCACTAAGTATCCAATTATTATAGAAATCTAAAAAAAACCCGTGTACCGACTGTTAACCCTCTCCCCACCAGGGAACATCGTATACAAGTTTCACTACCAATACATTTCGGGTGACTAAAGCTAATTTTTTCCCCTATGATTCAGATGAGGGTGTAGGCTATATCGGGGGTTTCATTTATACTTGTCAGTTCAATACACCGGAAATAACCTTCACGTGTAATCTACTTTTACTTTCACATCTTGGTTAGTCAGACCCCCCCCCCCCCCCGCCCAAACTCCACCCTCCCCCAGATCACCCACAAGCCAAATTCCCGCTATCGAGTCAGACTGTCATCGACATGCCAATACAACCATCGTCCATATTGACTCGTTCACGCGGTCACTAATGGTGCACACTAATGAACGCAGCGGTGCGCACCACGACACTGACTACGCGGTACATTAGTCGATCCAGCTGACGGGAAGTGCGGGGGTTGTATTGGAGAAATGTCCAGCCTTCAAACACAGCTGACTAGTCAGATATCACTTTCATTTCGTCTTTAGATTCACCCCAGTGGGCAGCTGACGGCATATGTACGGATGGAGTGATATTACCTCAAACACGTCTTGTTTATTGATTGAAGTGAGTAGTATACGATATATATATATATATATATATATATATATATATATATATATATATATATATATATATATATATATATATATATATATCAGCGGACTCTAGTCTATGTGGTGCTACTATTAGGGGTCTAGGCGGAAGCATGTTGATGCGACTCTACACTAGTGAAGTCTCAGGCGCCAAGCACTAATAGAATCAGCCTGTCTTTCGCCCACAAGAGATGAAAGCCGACCACCCCTCCACCCCCATCCGACCACCCCTCCATTATTCCATTACATCCATCAATGGGACGAGCCTGGGGTAATGGACGAACAGAGACGAGCCTTGTTCGAGCCCATCTACCCCCCAGCCAGCGGGAGATAATCACGGGTTAATGTAACCGCTGGTTAGGTTTAATATTTCATCCATATAAAGCCGGGCTATTGTATCTAAACTCGCCAGGAGTTTTTTTTTTTAAAAATCAGCTTTTATAAAAACAAAATTTGAACCCAGTGCGGAATATTCTGTAATAGAATCGGCCATGATTTATTTTTCTCGTTCTTAATATCAATAAAACATAAATATATTTAGATGTCAAAGGTCAATTGAGCGTTTCCCGCGGAGAAGAGTTTTTTTATCCCTCATACGAGTAGGTGGGAAATCTTATCAAAATATTGCCCTAGCCGCTGGTTTAAAAAAAAATTTCTGAGATTTATTACAGGGAGATAACTCGTTACTCGTTAAAAAAAATTTCATTAAAAAGTGAAATGTACAAGGTTTTTATATCAGTTGTTTTGTTCGTTGTGGCGTACAAATCACACCTGACACGTGCGTGGTGGGTGAGTAGCATTGAACGGACGTTAACGTCGTGTGCAGGGTGGGCTCGGCTAATTAGGACATGTGTACGGCATTTAGCTGTCTGTTGATTATTCAAGATTTGGATGACACTGAGATCAGGAAAAAAAAAAATAATAATATAAAAACATTACGTCAAAATGACCTAATGTTTTGATATTAGCTAGTGGACGTGAATGACGTGTATTTATCAAAATTTTAAAACAGATGAAAACTTACTGTGAACGGTGTTAAAGATGTATTTCAGTGATACACACAATATATTATGGAAGTTAAAGTTTAGCTGCCTCTCCATATATATATATATATATATATATATATATATATATATATATATATATATATATATATATATATATATATATATATATATATATATATATATATATATATGCTTCGTAATCGCATTGCGTGCTTTTTTGTATTGCTGCCGGATGCTGTCAATAAATCTGGCAATGTCAACCACATTTGGTAAACACGTGACGTCACGTCTCCGGCAGTGGGAAAATAAACTCGTGTTCTCCATCACCGGAAAAAGCCTTAATGTCGAGGGCACATCAT